TGTTGAAAATAAATAAAGCAATTTGAACCTTGCCCCAACACAGATTACTACCATCTTCATTGTTTTCTCAACCAATATTTGTTTAAATTAAAATAAGAACAACTTCCAAAAGAGAAGCAACTGTACTCTGACATCACTGTCAGCCCTTTTCTATTGAAATAACTGATTTATATTCCTTTGAACATTTAGGTAAGACTAACGAAAACAACATGACAATGATCCCTGTTTTTCTGTTTTAAACACTCTGGGTTTATGGGTGCTTAATGTTTTTTTTAAAGATTTGTTTTATTATGGAAATGTTTAGTAATACTAAAGTGTTATAAAGCAAACACAAACTGTATAACTGACCAATTGTTGTGTAATAGTGTCCTTAAATTAAGTTTGGATAACAGTTTTTCAAAAACAAGTGTAACATTTTGAATTTTAGAAAGGAAACATTACTTTTATTTTTCGCTCTTTAAAAAAATAAAATGCAAATCATGTTTATATGATGAGCTCCAGGTCAACGAGAACTATAGGCTATGTAACGCGTTGTGCAGCAGCAACAGGTTAATTAGTCATTTTATTTTTTAAGTAAACGAAGAGGCAATGAACCTTAAGAATAACACCTATCATATAAATACATTAAGTTCACAACTCAGCACTTTTTATAGATACATTTTTTTTTTTATGATACATTTGTAATATAATGAACAACTTTAATGGACATTAACATGTATGATTAAGCAGTCTGTGTGCCGTTATGACGAATTCATATATAATTTTATATAAAAGTACGTTGGAAACCCTCAGTTATTGATGACTGTTTCCCTCTCCTTCCTCAGGAGAGGTGGAGATCTGTGTCGGAAGTACCGTAGTTTATGTATGCTAATGTGTAGAGTTGGGGGTTGTAGCTAGATATTTACGTTCAGAGGGAGCCGCCCTTCATTCACCCACATGGTTACCAACTGGTCGCCTTCGCGCCACTTTCCTATCCCCGCAATCATTTTTAACCAGCCTTACTGGGCTACAAATTGACTCCCGATCGTCTCGGATTTCTCTTTATGTTTCGTTGTTGTGCGCCGGTAGAAAACTTTCCGGAACAGTTTCGTATTTATTCCTCTCTTTTGTCGGTAAGAGACTACACGGCAGCCCAAGCAAGTGAGCGAAGATGGTGGATTTCGGCTGGTGAGTGTCTGCCGAGCGCATGTTTATCAGGCAAGGAAGTCGGGTTTGGGGTTGTTTATTATCTCTGTTTTGCTGCACGAAATCTCTAAACGATGTGTTTTATGCCTGTTTTAATGTGTCTTAATATCGTACTACTGGAGGGGAAATGCAAACATTAAATCCTAAATGATATGCTGGCGATGAAAACAGTGTAACGTGAGGCGCATGGCAGCCCCCTCTGCTCCACCATTGAGGGAATGAGGGAGATTTGAAAAGCTGTCCAGAGCCTTTCTCCTTAGCAACTAGTTGAGAAAAATCCGAGCTTCTCGTAACAACACCCGAGTTTGTGTAAACATGCGTGTCCAATATTAGTAAGGAAAGTTTGTAAATGTGGATAATTTGTTGCTCAGTCTCGAGTGCAGTGGTGTGTGAGTTAAAGTGCCCCCCAGAACAAAGCAGCAGCACATGGGGCAGTGATAGGCCGCGCGTTTTAGCTTAGCTACCTTAGCCTAGCTGCAGACACTCAACACAGTTGTATTGTTGGGTAAACACATAAATAACAGTATAAAGCGTTGGTATTACATTTAGATAAAGATAGGAGCAGATAAATACAGCCAATCCACCGGGGCAGGTGGTGTATTTTCAGGCGTGTGCTCGTTTGTTGTTGGCTAGCGGCTAATCAGTGTAATCAAACTATTTAATTGTATTAGCTTGCGAAACAACTGCAACAGACCCACCGAGTTTAATGTTAACACACTAAACTGCTCATGTGCCACATCAAAGTTGTAGTTATTGCAGCTGTAGCAACGTTAACACGGTTTTCCATGTTTTCCCCAGGCTAATTCGTTAGCTCGCAGCAGCTAAGCTACCTGCCCGACCACGGCTGCTGTTTGCTGCGGACATTAGCCGGGTTTTTCTCGGGGATCCGACACAGCAGGCCCCGGTGTTTGCACCAAATAAACAACACGCAACTACACCTTTAAGTGTTCAATACAGCGTTAGCTCGATTTGTTATAACTCATTTATGCTAAGGTTGGCGCACTTGGAGGCGCCATGTTAAAGGCGGTGGGGGAGGGGTGAACAACACAGTCTCCCTGCGCATGCGCCTCAGTGTCGCAGGGAACGCGGGCCGCAGGCTGTGCTGCTGCTCATTCATGTTTTCAGTGACCTCGTGCTGCTGCGATAAATCACAACATCTCCTATCACAACTAATTCGTGTAATCCTCGACTAATCAGGAATAGTGATGCACTTTATTGATGGAGACGATTTGAATACCACGTTTTTTTTTGGTGGATTTAATGAAAGAAATGGGTTACATGTGCGCACACATCAACCTAAGGATGTAACTTGTTGCAATTCCCAAAAAGTCGAATTGTTCTCTAAGGTGTCTTTTTTCTCTTCCCCCCCCCCTCCAGAGCCACCATGATATGCTGAGGCCAACCCGAATTCCAACCTGGACCAGTGTGACAATCTTTCCCATGTTGCTGTAATCAGTCTGTGTATTGTCAAAGTGCTTACAGTGCAGGTAGTTATATGTCATACCTACTGCAATGGAGGCACTTACAGCAATACCCTGACACTGATGTGCAGATCCCTTTGATGTTATGTGTCATGTGAAGTACTGTCTTTGTGCTAAGGTGCATCTAGTGCAGATAGTGAAATAGACTAGCACCTACTGCCCTAAGTGCTCCTTCTGGCATAAGGGACTGATATGCGCCACCAGACCATTTTTTTCAATTTCCAATTGGGCTTTAATATCTTGCAGTTCTCTGCTAGTTTTGCATAGTTGCACTACAAGAATAGATGAGTTGTGCAAATCTATGCAAAACTGATGGTGGCCTGCTTGCTCTCCACCTGTTTAGATTTTTGGTTTTGGGGGTGTCACATCAAACACAATTTGTTTGAATAATACAAATGTAGTGCTGATATAAAAAAAACATGTATTTTCCAGTTTGTGAAGTTACTGAGTTTCAGCAGTGCTAAAGTGCTTATAGTGCAGGTAGTGTCTTTCTCCTATCTACTGCAATGTAAGCACTTAAAGTACTTCTAACTAACTGCATCTTTCTGAACCTCGGATGTCTATGATCATGGATGATCTGTTAATCATCACTTGGTCAGTTTTGCTGGTTTGCATCCAGCTTTTTCTGATGTTCGCTGTGCAAATCCATGCAAAACTGACTAGGTTGATGAACTGTTCTGCTAAGTGGTATTGTTCTTAAACATAGATGTTATTTCCTCGTGGTGGGTATATGGTGTCTAAAATACTTGGAGATGTCCCTTCCTGTGCAGGTGGGGATTTGTAGCAATGCTGAGTACCTGGAGGTATTGCACTTGTCCCGGCCTGTATAGGAACGAGGAGATGGAGCTGACCTGGATCCTGATATCAGTATACTAGAAAAATGAATGCACTCAACTTTACGTGCTTATTATGTATGCAATGCATGTGATAGTTGATGGGGATATGTTTTTTTTAAATTGTATTGTCATTTGACATTTATATTAAATTGTTTACACTTTTTTTTCTCCGAATGCTTTATTATGCAAATCTCACAATGAGTTAAAGGAATTGAACACTATTTAGTCATTTGGTAAATTGAAATGCACCTCAATTAAATTTGTATAGGATTATTTGGAAGCTTTTTTTTAATGGTTATATAGTGCCACCTTTATTAGACACTGTTGAAGCAAGACAATAAAAAAGTAACTATTTATTTTAAATTAATAAACTAATTCTATGGCCAGTAACTTTTGATTCTCTTTACACTTTCTTTAACTGATGGGCATACACTAATAAGTGTAATTGTTTTGACCACTATACACCTGATTACATCTAGCACATCACCCATTGGGTTAACAGCTTTAAAATAATAGAGGTGCAGTCTTCAATGCACACAAGACAGACATTTAAGAGCACAGCAGCTTATTACAGGAGGCCACAGTGAAGGGCAGTAATGGCTAAACTGATGGGGGTCTTATTGTAGTAGTTGCCCATTCATTTAGAATATATGAAAGCTGAATATTGCCTCTAGTTGTAGCCAAACTTTTTTTCAGTTTGCAAATCACAATCAAGCCCACGTGAGTTCAAGGTTAACTGAAAACGGACATTTTTAATTACTGACAAGAGAGGCATGTGTATAATCAGCAATGCAAAAACAACCCTTTCAATCTTTGATTTGAATTCAAATCTAAATTCCAAACTAAGGTGTTGCTGACATTAAGCAAACGTTAGTCGAATAAGAAATTGTTTTCAAATTGAGAACTATTTAAAATTACGAGTAGGTCTACAGTGTAATTACATTTACTTGAATTTGGGATTAAGGGCAAAACAGGCATACCCATAGTTTTATGAATCAATCCATGATTTAAGAAAACCCTTAACAGTCACGCCTCATCAATATTTATTTACACACTTTTCTGTAAAGAGACCGTTGCTTCATATCCACCTAATTTCTGCACCCTTCAGCGTTGATAGTTGTTTAATTGTCATCATTAAATCAGGTCTTAACTCAAAGGGGGCGGACACTAGATGGCGCTGTCCGGTCGCCGGCAGCTGCTCACCGGCCACGGGGTGCAGGTAACGCTGCGGTACCGCCTCTGCTCCGGGTTCAGCTAATTTGGACAACATGCCGCTGTGTAACAGACTCCTCACACCGCTGCAACTTTCACTCCGTCAGCCTGCACTGAAATGATGATCCACAGCGTTTCCTCCACACAAACGCCACATGATCGACGACGCTGAGTCCTGAAACCTGAGATGTGGACGGGACTCACCTGAGCTGCCCGAAGGTTTAGAAGAAACCTTAACTTCCAAACAATTGTCTTTTTGTGGCGTATAACCCTGGATTTGGTTAAAATGGGTGTGTGGACGAACTGCGTTTTCTTGCTGGCGTGTTGCTCTGGATTAGGGTTTGGCAGCCCCAACAGATGCGATGAAGTGCGGAAAGTTTTCCAACTCAAACAAATTGGACCAAATCAATTATTGCCTTTGAGCCCCAGACCAGGTATGTTCGAGATACACATGAGAAGCTAACCTATGCTACCATACAACTTATGTCACATTTCTTTCGATAATTGAATCATTAACATCTATTTAGCAACGAAAGCATCATCAAGCTAAACCCTGAATGAAAGAAATATGCCAGAGAAGTCATTCAACACTACATTACCTTCCTGTTGAGGTCACTAACTGCACTGTGGATTTTTAACCTGTCATTTTCTGGCTATTGAAGTACTCTTTGTAGTTACAAAATGCGCCTTTTTAAACATATTTAGAGGCGTGTGTGCAGTCATGATAATAACATAGACAGAACCTGGAGAGCTCTAAACTGTTTAAAGTGCACCTTTGTGTGATGGGACGTTTAAATCGAGAAATATGGAGGAAATGCCGTGTAACGCAATTATGTTTATTTTGGATATAATGTACTTTGGACCCATAATTTAAATTTGTTTCCAGGAGTGTTTCAGGTTAATAAATGTTGAAATATTTAAATAGGGTTGCATGGGCTAGTGAAATAGGCTTGGAGATTATACTTTGCTTGTGTTTGCACAACAAAACAACCTTTAAAAGGTATCTCCTATGGTTGTCTTGGCTGTTTTATATGTGCTAACGTTTTTCGAAGGAATCTAGGAGTTTAAACTCCTGAGATTATGTGTTGGTTTTGACGGCCGTCAAAAGCAGATAAGTGGCTTGCAGGGATAAACAGGAATTATTTAGTCTAAAGTTAGGTAAACAAGGCCTCATTTAACTTTCTGAACACCACCCATAATGCAATTCCACATTATACTTCTGCACATCAATTAGGTGGGATGATGGGTGCAGATATTTCAAGTGGGCTGTCATTGACCAAACGGCTTGCTGCTGCTTTTTCTTGGAAAAATAAATCTTAACAGTGTTGATAGCATCCTGCCACAAACTGCTCCCTACAAACTTCACTTTCCTCTGCTGCTGTGTGGAAACTGATTACATTGGCAGAAAACCCTCAAATACTTCCTAAACCTCTAACTAACCCTTATAATGCCATCACCACTCCTGCCCTTTAAGTGAGCCTGTGTGAATCTGAATCTCAGTGCTACTTCTCAACTGAAAAGTACTTTCTCAGATATGAATGATGTGTGCAGTGGGTGCCTCCTGTAGAGGCGATGATAAGCTCCTGATTCAGTAACGTTGTAACAACACTTGCTACTGTTTATAGCTGTGGTGCTGCTGACCCTTCTTGCAACCTTGCACATTTCCTCTTAAACTGAATGCATCTTGACATTAGAGATATGTAAATGGTTTCCTTGATGGATTCATATTAATGCATTGAAACACATCAGAGAGTGTAATGGGCAATAGCATAATAAATCCTGTATATCGTATATAATGTATCTATTCTTTAGGGTTGGCTTGTGATAAATTGCCAGAAATTCCAGGAGCTGTTTCTATGTTTTCGAATAAGACGTGCCAAACAGCCTTCAGTTTGGGTCAGAATATGGCAAGCCATAAGTCTTTCCCCTCAGCCAACTAAAGCTGCTTTCTGTGAAAATAGTTCTGGGAAGCATTTAGGTGAAAAAGAAAAAAAAGCAAGACCTGGGGCTCTTTCAAGTTGTCTTATCTAGGAGAGTTTAAATTCCTCCACGTGTGCCATCGCCTGCCCTGCACCCTCCTCACTCTTCTTCAACTGATAGCGTCTCTGGCAACAGCTCTGCACTCTCTGCACACTCTGCCTAGGCTTGTCCGTGAGGCTTTTGCACAGTTTTGGGACTCTTTTAAGATGTTTTGACTGTCCCCTATGTGGGATGATTGCTTATTTGTTCATAGCTTAGCTTATCACTGCCACAAACTGTTGAGCTGATAACTTTTTGACTCACATCTCCGCTCAGGATCTTTGTGTTTTGGTTTTCTGCTCCAGTAAAGCATTTTTTGTAATCCTATAATGGTGGAAGAATGATTTTGAATGACCAGAATCAACTGCAGCTTTTCAAACAGACATGATTAGGTCCATATATATTATATTTCTTTAGAATATCCCGTACTATTTATTTACCTTGTATTTTTCTACTTGTGTGTATCTCTCTATATAAACATGGATTGTCAATACATTTAACCTCGATGACCCCTTGACTTTTATTTTCCCATCATTGGTTGACCCCTCTGTTTCTGAGTGAAATATTTCCATTTGACAGATTCTCGTACATATGAGTGCTGCTAAAGAGAGTTGCTTGTCACTTTGGACGGTTGCCAATTTATCATACATGTATTAAAAAAGATTTTTAGACACACTCACCTATTCATACTTGCCTTGCAGTTTAAAGTGTCAAATCCACCTGACTTGCATGTCTGTGGAATGGAAAGTAAGTGGAGCACCCTAAGGAGAGCCTCTAGATCCCCAGCCACAACTTCATGCCTCTCACATATTTGTTTTACATTCATGTAACATATGTAAGCAATTTGTTACTAAATAAATACAAGGTGATGTTAGGAAAACCCACAAGGTTGGGGAACATGGTGTACCTATTCATAAGGTAGTTCCAAAATACAAAAGACCTTTGTTTGCTGCACAATAAACAAATATTCACCTAGTTTTTTTTCAGTTGGCAGCTGTAAAAGATGACCCATATTTATTATAAGTTATATTAAGCTATATTGATGTTACTTTATATCATTTAGTATTTTCTATGAATATTTTGCTCCAATAGAGATATTAGTTATCTGGGAGTTGAGATGTTTTAGGTACCTATCGCACGCACCGAGTTTGGTAAGCAGGCCGGTGTTACGGTATGGAGGTAAAGAAGTGTACTGTTGTGGACGTGGGCAGCCAGTAGCGAAACCAATTTTAATCAGTCAATTTGAATCTTATATTTTGAAACTGTCCTCCACAATCAGGTTTTGACATGTAACTAAAGCTGTTATATATGTTATCTTTAGAGCCACCAGACTCCATTGGGGGGAAAAAATAAAACTGAAAATGTATACAACATTACACAGAGGTTGCTCTAACGCTGCATCAATATGTTTGTGTTGTGTGACATCTGAGCTAACCATTTAAAACATCAAAAGAGAATAGTAATGGATGCCAGCTTAAGCTTAAATTGATATTGATTTTCTTTTAGCCAAGCCTCTTTTTAGGTGGTTGATGATGTTTTTGCTGTTGCCCCCTTGGGTGTCAAATACACTGACTTTGACTAATTACAGGTCTGACCAGGGCCTGTAAATGAACCCAATTCCAAAAGTCTGAACTATCTCTTTGACATTCTTTCCCCTTTTTATTTTAAGATCCTAACATTCAATCTTAACTACTCTTAGGTTCAGACCTTCAGGTGTGCATGTCCAAGAACCTGACCTGCTGCACCAAAAAGATGGAGGAGAAGTACCAGGTGGCGGCCCGGAGAGACATCCAAAACCTCCTGCAGACGTCCAGCTCCAGCCTCAAGTTCCTCATATCGCGCAATGTGGCAGCTTTTCAAGGTAAGAGTTAACCGGTGTGCTGTGTGTGTGTGTGTGTCTGTTTATTCATCACTGTAACAAATGTTAAACTTCATAAACGCGTGCTGAGATGAGAGAGCAAATGTTTACGTGGATAATTGTATGTGTGTGGTTGTTTGTGTGTGTTTCCGAGTTAGAGTACACATTTAGGAGTTGGGGTTTGTGTGGGTGTTGTGAAAACAGTGGATGAGTCAGTGTGCGTGCAGCTAGGCTCCACTTCAGAGCAAACAGAGGGGGTCTGTCCTCCTTCCAGATCTACCACTACACTATGATCCTGAGATAAGATGGACTCAGGATGCCGTCTCTAAGGGTGAAAGTCTGTCAGGGATATGTACTGGGGCTTTTACTAATAGCTGCTTTTCCTGTGCAAGGTGTCCTCTTATACCGATACCTCCATAAAAGCAACACATTTAGGGCAGAGGAACACAGTTATCTCAGCATAGAAACACCATAAACTGGCTGCAACCCATCCCCACATTGGTTTTCAACCTCTTTCTCTCATTGTTTTACATTCCTCTCCATCCTTTTCATTCAGCAATGATTGACAGTTAACTTACAGGCAACAACTTGCCTCTGTCTCTCTCCTGCCCAGCGTGGGATGTTTCTCCCACTCTAGTTGATGGCTGTCATATGACGGCTGAAATGAGTGGGCAACAAATGCAGAGCTTATGACTTGAGTGTACAGTCTCAGACATATCATTAAGCCAATTCTCTTTAACGATGTCTCTCAGTTTAAAGACGTGCTGTTATCCTCCTCCTAAACTCAAATGGTTTATGGGAGAGTCCCGGCATGATCACAGTGTTTTAGTTGAGGTTGGAAGGGGCAATGCCCTGTTTGTGTTGTCAGATGTTTGATGTCTCTACTGGGGCTCTGAAGGTGAATTAAAATACCCTGCGTTTATGATGGTTTTCATAAGGCATTGGCAGATTTTTTAAAATACTGTTAACTTATTACAAAATGGCAAACAGTCTTATTTAGGTGAAGAGTTTAAAAAAAACAACCTCTAAAAAGAAAAGTTCAAATCCAATGAAAAAACTAAAGACTTCACTTCCTTTGGCACTTCCCCCTCAACTGAATATGTACATCTTCAAAACGGTCGCTAACATATAGAAATGTCCCAACATTTGGCTTTTAGGAGAACTTTTGAACTTCAGATGAATACATGTTTGGTACAGTATTACAGGTATGTGTATTTGGGACTTGATCCAAATAATTTACATGTTGTTCAGTACAACAATGTCAACTATTCTGATTGTTTTTTAAAATTATTTTTGGACAATATTGGAGGACCAAAGCAGAGTAAGCTTAATCAGTCTTTGGCTACACAAACAATACATGTTTGAAGTTAAAGTTCTTGTTACTTAAAGCCAGTCCAAGAACTGGCAGCTTTGTGAGCGCAGGGCAAGTCAAAAAAGACTACAGGAGCTGGTAGCTGTTTGAAATACTCCTAAAATGAGCAGCACTCACATGGTTTCATCTGAGGAATGGCAGGCAGTGTGCTCTCTTGCCAAAGCAAACAGAGTTCCCTGTCAACAGCAGCTCTCATCACCAGTCAACAAACAGTGGCGGCTGCTTCCAACATCCAGGCTGCGTAACACAAGTGGCAACAGACGCTCAGCAATTTAGGTTTCATATTGGATCACAGGCAACGGCAGTGTAACTACCCTGAATGTTACATTTATTAAGTCGTTATGTTGTGTTCCCAAGTTGTTCTTCTGATTTATTTAAAATAAGTTGTAGGTTCTAAGTCATTTGTGACTGATTATTTTCTTGATATATATATTTATATTCTTTTTTTTAATGACACAGTTTGCATGTTCAGATTGTTTGTATAGTCCAACCAGCAGTCCAGCCATAGATAATACCATATTTTGGCTTGTAATTGACTTGTTTGTTTAAAAAGGTTTGTTGATTGACTCTGATTAGATTTTTAAAATACTCCCTGTGAAGTTTCTTGTAGATAAATTCATGTTTGCTTTTGAATTCTCATCTAAACACCTTGACTGTATCCAAGGGGTCTTATACACACGTTGAGTGCTTTTACTTTCTTCACGACCTTTGCAAAGCTATATGTATGTCTCCAGAGGCATATTGTTCTTGATTTTCCATCCCTCTCATTATCGTGAACCCCCGATTTCTGGAGGAACAAACTTCCACTTCGACTCAGAAGAACTGATTGGAATTTGTGGTTCAAAGTCATTGTGACCTCACAAAGTTAGCTTTTGGCCATAACAATAAATAATATATTTAATCATGTTAAACATTTTAAATCCTGCAATGTTTGCATTTATGATTGCTTGCCGCAATCTTTCCCTATTGCTGGCATTTTTACTTTGCTTGTTGTCATGTTACCACCACCAACTGTAGATAAGGGAAAATGTGTGTCCAAACATGTCTTCTGGATCACATATAAACCATATATATATATATATATATTTCATAACGCATGAAAGAAATGTAAACCACAAATGTAACTCTTCCTCTCTGCCGGTTCAATATTGTTTGTCTTGCTATTGAAGTAAATCTATGCTGATAGAAGCTGATGCTTGTTAAAATGTTGCTGCTGATTTTTAACTCACAGTCTATAATATCTACGCACGCACGCACGCACGCACGCACGCACGCACTCACACACTCACACACACTCACACACTCACACACTCACGTACGCACACAGAGCCACCCACGTGGCATTGTTCTATTTGGTTGTGAAGGTTTTAAGGGTCTTTGTCACATGGAGAAAACTCTCTGTGGCACCATATGTATGGGAAGCACGGAGGGAAAGAAATGTCTGGCAGGTTGTTAGATCTTAACAGAGTGGGGGGAAAAAAACAGTTTTGCTGTTCATGTGCAGACATAAAAGAAACACAAGTCAAGCATTTAATCCTTCTTTCCTATCCAGGGAGTGTTCAATGATGCTGAATTAATATGACTGAATTGTTTGTTATTCATCTTGTGTGACTGTTAGTTTTGTTCTGGGTGTTTTCAGATTATAATGGAAGTGGAAACAAGCCAACAACTTTACGGATGGTTTTGAAATTGAAATAAGATGTTATGTTGACTGGCTGCCCTCAGCATTATTACTGCTTCGCTGTAGACACTTTTGTTGAGTACTGGAAGAAATACTTCTCTCTAGGAGGTAGGAGAAAAACAAGTCCCTTAGTTTTAGCTTCCAAATGATTGGCAGCCTGTGCTGTAATTTGAGAGACAACAGAGAACAAGCAGAGTGTATAATGCATTACAACCACAGGCAGGAAGAAAGGCGAGTTAAAGGGGTGCAGACTAATGTGGTCATTTGTTATGTGCAAAGCCTTCAATTAGGCATTTTTTATATATATGCAGCTAAAAGGAGAGGGGGCAAGACGCAATTAGAGGAATGTAGATGAATAACAGTCTGAAAGACTTAGGAGACAGAGAAAATAGCTCTAACCAATAAAATGCTATTTAAAATGTTTTTCTTCCTCTGGGACTTTTTTTTGCCCTTTAATGGGCTGCAGTAATAACACATCTTCAAGAGCATAGAAAAAGTGCTTAATACTTACACATAATGAGAGATGTTGATTATGAGAGCTTCAAAGCACAGCTCATCCTACATTAATGGCTCAATACGTGTTTCCATTTCCTTTATAGGAATGTGCCTCAAGATTAGAATATCTCGTCCTTAAATGAACCTGACTGCTGCCTCTCAAATCTCTTCACAACGAAAAGATAGCTTGGCAACTGGGCTGGTTAAAACTAGAAAGAATAAAGATAAAGTTGATAGCATACTTTTCAGCAGAAGTCCTTTGAGCCTCCCAGCACATCTCTTTTTTTCTCCTCTCTTTCTGCTGGTCTGTCAGTAAGCCTCTTAGGACTGCATGTTTTCTTTCATCGGTTGTGAGTTTCCTGCATGTTGTCCACACAATGCACAAATATGCAGCCTGCTGAGAGGGGCTTCAGGGGAGATCTTTTTTGCCCTGTGCAGGTTTGTCTTGCATCCATGGCAACCAACCTGTGCAATCCTAGCTTCCCGCGGGGCGGCAGCCGATAAAACTCAGAAACAGAGCATATTATGAATCAGCTGTTGAGATGCCTGAGAGACTGTCTGAGGAGGGGCACTTAAATCTTAGCAGAATGTTGGATATCACCAGATCAAAGGAATGCCCTCCTTTGGGAAGAGCTTTGAGGAAATATTTAAGCAGCATATTGTATTGCCTTCAAAAGTGAAGAATCCAGGGATATTTACAGAGGCTGGAACCGTTGGCTTGTAACAAATTAAAGGAATAGTTTGTTATTTTGAGAATGGGATTTTCCACTTCATTGCAGAGATTTGAATAAGAAAAGCAAAACTACTCCCATATCTACCCGTTACATACAAAGGTACAACCAGCATCGAGTTAGCTTTGCTTAGCATAAAGGCTAAAGGGAAAATCAACTAGTGTGGCTCTGTCCAAAGGTTAGGATATATACCTACCAGCACCTGTTAAGCTCAATCAAATAATTACCCAATGTTGGGGAATGAGATAATGGGACGAACAATACCACACTAATATTGGTTTAAAGCTCTGCTGTTGATTAGCCTAGCTTAGCATAACACATTTAAAGGCAGCATGCCGGGCTCAAATCCTCCTATGAAAGCATCCTGAGCTCAATATTTAACCTGCTATTTCTACATTCCTTTATTTCATACACATAATAAAAGCATCACTTGAGTGGGTTTTCAGGAAGTTACATGCTGTCATGCTAATTTAATTATACAAGACACAAAAGCGATGCTGAAAAAAGTTGTGGCCTGCTAGACTTTGATTAGTAGGGTGATTTAGCACCCGTCACAAAGCAGCTAAGTCTGGTGTCAGGTTGTAGCTTCATTTAATCGCCTCCATTTATAATCACTTGTAGCCTGTTAATTTGTTGCTCATAGTGTGAACATAACAGCTTCTCTCTGTGCTCGATGACTCCCTGGTGTCTTTCCGACAGGAAACCAGCAGAAACTCCAGCCCTG